CTGCAAAAATTATTCCAAATCAACAAAAACAACATCGTTTTGTGAATTATGTTGCATCTTGAGCATAACATGGTGTTGTAACTTGTGTAAACACACAATATAATGATTCTGGTTTTAGTAAAACATTTAAATTAAAAATTATTATTGTTTTGGTATTTTTTTAATAAAATGAACTGGATAAAAAATATCGATTTGATTTTTGTAAAATACATTAAAAATAAAAGTTTTAATTGACATTTTTAAGTTAATAAACATGTGTAATAAATTAAATTTTTTTATGTTTATGAAAATGACAATCTTTTTTTATAATTCTATTTAAAGGGATTCATGAGGATTGTTAATTTTTCTGAGGATGGTAAATATCTAAGACTAAATTTCTATCAATTTAGATATTTTTGTTTAAGATCAAATAGGTATATTTTGAAACACATGATTTTATTAAAAAATGCTATTTATGGATTTTTTGAAAGATGATTTTTTTAGTATTTTTGTATAATAAAACAATTTATTTTCTATTTTTTGATTTACCACTCGACAAACATTAGTTTCGTAAACAAACAAATACAGACATGTATATAATCAAAAAAGTCGATTTTTAATCAAAAGTAAAAAACAAAATACTCGAAAAATAATTGTTTAATCATTTTTCATAAATATTTTATAATAAACCAATTAGTCAATATTTATTACAATAAAAATTGATAGCAAATAACATATTAACAATGAATACTTTATGCGATAACAATTTATGTATTTGCGTTAATTTTAACAGTAAAGTTTACTAGATCGATGAACATCGATAACCAAATCAACAATATCGTAAAGTAAAAAAATTTAATTCCATAACAGTTTTATTAATTTTTAAAAGCATAAACAAATTAAATATTGGTTTCGATATTAATTTATCAATAAACATGTGTTCAAATACGAGTTAATTATTGATTTTCGATATTATTCAATTTTTACGATTTTTCATGTGAGCTATTAATAAAAATCGCTTTTATAAAAAATCTCAAAGATTTATTATGTTAATATTAGAATTTTGAATCAAAATTGGCAGTGCTAATAATATCTCTGAGGATGGGAAATCGTGTAACAAACACACGTTATAAATGCATACTTAAACATCTATAAAATATAATGACGTGTTTCCCCATCCAAAAATAGTATCTTACTTAATTTAAGTTACAAATAGATGTGAAAGTGTGCACTTTCTATTTCTGTCATCCTCAGAAAATGATTGCCATCCTCAGAACTGTAAATCTGTTTAAAACACAAGTTAATATTAAACTGAAAAAATCGTAACAAAAAATACACTTTAGAATTAACTTTGTTATTACTATAATTTTGAATAATTGCATAAATTATATAGTTATTTATAATTTTGTTATTTTTAGAAATAACAAATTAAAAACATTATAAATTTAAACGTAAAATATCAATCATTTTGTTATTAAGACCGGTTCGAAAATAATCTCACCAAGTATATAATCATCATATGAACATGTTCAATTTACACTTTGTGATTTTCCATCTCAAATAACATAAAAATATAACAACGGTTTTTGTTTATTTATAATTGTAATGATTTTATAATGATTATTGATTTTTGGCATTTTTTACAAATTATTACCATTATTTAAAAATCGAACTTGTACTTGAAATATTAAATGTAAAATTTAACTCAATTTATAAGAGTGGGCTTTATGGGGAACTAAACATTATGGATTTGTTTTTTGTATCCTCAGAAAAATATTTTTAATAAGGAATGTTCTGATTTTGAGGATACAACTTATTCTCAAGAAACCCTTTTTTAATAATTTAATCAATTACAATTATAGTCATTTTTCACAAATGTGGACTTAGTGTTATTATTAATATTATTCAACTGTTATTTTTTATTATAATTTATTTTATAATTTAATAAAAGCTGTTTAATCAGTTGTGTTACTGTTTTATAAATTATTTCCAAAATAATACATTAATAATTATTAAAATATTACAATTAAAAATGTGTACTGTGAACTACACTCAAATGTATTATAAATTGATCAATAAATCGTCAATAAACAGACAAAAATGAGTGACAGCGACGAAGAATTTGATAATTCAATGAAAAAAGAATTTGTGTGTGATAATGGTGATGTGAACATTGAAAAACATTTCAAATTTATGGAAAAATATGAAGAAGAAGAATTTGATAAAAACATTTTATTTGATCATACCAAGTTTGAAGTTTTATGTGCAGACACTAATGATAATGGAATGTTAAACTGTAAACAGATGGAAATGTTATCAAAGAACAACGATTTATTTGACCAAAACAAAATCAAAGAGTATGTGACCAACCTGTTTAAATGGCTCGATAAAAACGAAGACGGGTTTTTAGAAGGTACGGAACTTGCCAAATTTCAAAAATATTACGAAAGAACAGCCGCCAAAAAGAAAGAAAAGAACGTTATTAAATTAATGGACACGGACAAAGATGGGAAAATATCATCGGAGGAGTTCGTCACTTTTTTTGTGAATTTTTTTGAGTCTTAAATCAACTTGAATTTCAATTTTTGTTTTGGTATATAACTATCATTAAATAAGCAGTAAAAAAAGTAATGTTTTGGGTAATGCCAATTTGTCAAATAAATTGTTTATTTGTAAACTATTATTTATAAAATATGTATTATCAAAAATAAAACTAGTTTCAACTTGGCTTCAGTCTCAAGAGCTCGGATTTCGAGTAGCTTATGATAGAATTAAATGTATAATTCAATATATATATACAATTCTTAAGATGATATTACAGACGAATAAAACTATCTATTTT